AGAGGATTAGACTTATTGGAGGGAGACTGGGAAACCATTTATACAGATTCCCAATATTCATTTGGGATAGTACACACATTTGGGAAAATATGGGAAGAGCATGGATATCTAAGCTCAAAGGGAAAAAGCTTAGCTCATGAGAATCTAGTCAAGTCTGTATTAGAATCTCTACAGAAACCAACAGAAATAGCAGTAGTCCATATAAAAGGGCACCAGAAAGGACACAGCCTTGAAGTTAAAGGAAACCGGTTGGCTGACCAGATAGCAAAGGAAGCAGCCTTAGAACCGGGACCAGTGAAAGTTTTTAAAGCAAAAACCACACCTGAGGAGGGAAAAACAAGAGAAGAACCCATATTTAGTGAAAAATAATTAAAGGCTATAAAAGATTTAAAGTTACACCAAGGGCAACGAGGGGAGTGGCTAACATCAGACGGACGGGTGTTTTTAAACAAAGCACTTGCTCGGACGGTGCTAACAGAACTACATAAATTAACCCACTGGGGAGTCCAAGGACTATGTGATCATTTCCTAAGAAGTAACCTGTGCATAGGTGTATCCATTCTTGTTAACACCCTATAGCACAGGAGACTATTTAGAAGGTGAAGAAGCTACCAGAAAATATTTAGAAATCAATGGAAGAACCCTAGCAGGACTTAGAAAAAGAGGAAGAACCCTAGCAGGACTTAGAAAAAGAGGATACCTCCCCCAAAAGTCGTGGCAAAAGTAATCTTAGAAAACATTATCCCCAGATATGGAATGGTGAATACCATAGACTCAGACCGAGGTCCACATTTTGTGGCCCAAACATTGCAAAATATAATTGAAGCTTTAGGAATAAAATGGAGATTACACACTCCGTGGCACCCCCAGAGTTCTGGGAGGGTAGAACGAATGAACCAAACCCTCAAAAATGTATTGACTAAATTAATCGAAGAAACAAAAATGAATTGGCTAAAGTGCTTGCCCCTAGCGCTTTTGCGCATCAGAACAAGACCTCGGTCTGATATAAAGATTTCACCCTATGAAATGATGTTCGGACTGCCATTCTTGTTAACACCCTATAGCACAGGAGACTATTTAGAAGGTGAAGAAGCTACTAGAAAATATTTAGAAGTCGTTGGAAGAACCCTAGCAGGACTTAGAAAAAGAGGATACCTCCCCCAAACCTCCCCTCTTGACACAAAAGCACATAACATCAACCCAGGAGATTGGGTTTTGATAAAATCCTGGAATAGTAAACCATTAACGCCTAAATTTGAAGGCCCCTTTCAGGTACACATCATCACTAATTCTGCTGTGCGGACCAGAGAAAAGGGTTGGACCCACATCACGAGAATTAAAGGACCAGTCCCACCCCCGAACATTGGACAAGACTCATCAGTGTCTCCATCTGGTATTGGACCAGATTCCCCACTACCTTCACCCCCGAACATTGGACAAGACTCATCAGTGTCTCCCTCTGGTATTGAACCAGACACCCTACTACCTTCACCGCTGAACATTGGACAAAATTCGTCAGTGTCTCCATCTGGTATTGGACCAGATTCCCCACTACCTTCACCCCCGAACATTGGACAAGACTCATCAGTGTCTCCCTCTGGTATTGAACCAGACACCCTACTACCTTCACCGCTGAACATTGGACAAAATTCGTCAGTGTCTCCATCTGGTATTGGACCAGAT